CACCTCGCCGTGGCTCCTGGACACGGCCCCGCGGGCAGCACCGACTTCCTGCAAACGCCATCGCTGTCACGGCTGCATCGCTCCTGAAAAATGCACTCTCAGGTCTCAAGGGAGACTTGAGATGATTGTAGGACTGGGTTTGGTTTGATATGATAATTCTACTCACTGCTGGTTTAGAGAAAATACTGTGATGTTCAAACCATGTCTAAGCACTAATTTACTTTTTTTTTCCTGCATGACCAAATCAGGAATTGCTGCCTTGATATTTGATTGTTGGTAGTGTGGCTGCTTTAAGTCTTGGCCGCTATCCATGTTCCCAGTGCCCTTGGTGTTGGGTGGCAGAGGCTGATACGCTTATCTGGGCCCCTAATTTTAGCCTGGCAGCTCTTGAAACATCCAGAGCCCAAACCGCAAATAGGGAGTGAGGGCTCGGTAAAGACGTTTGGCTCATGCCCTTGGCCTGCGAGGGAGGGCTGCTGGGTTTTAGGTGGCCTTCATATGATGAAAGCCTGGACAACGGCTCCAAGCTGAAATAAGATCTTGGAGGAGGTGTTGCAGGAAGGGTACAGACAAATATTCACCAGATCTCATGCCAGCTGCAATTTTTGTGAGGATTTAATGCGCCAGGAAAACGTCACATTCACAGGTAAAAGTAAACTGGGTGCAGACAAGTCTTAAGAGAAAGAGAAGAACAGAAATCCTCGTGATGCTTGGCAATCTAACTCACACCTTGGACAACGTGAGGCTTCTCCTCAAGAGCTTGTTCCTCAGGACTTTGGTGTAACTCGGTCTTAAATGCTCCATATGCTTCTGCACTGTAGCTTGTCTGAGGTGTCCTTACGAGTACTGACTGTACATCTTATTCCATCTGGTTGCTCTCTGCTATATCCCGGTACTTATAAATAAAATTCCTCTTTGCAATTCACACATGGGCTGTTGGAACGACTCTGCCGTGCTCCATTGCCGGTGCGTGCGGATGTTGTTTGCTGGTCGTATGGGGTTGTGTTTGTGGCAGTTGTGTTGGCCGGGGTTTTCTGCAGTTTGTCTGCTGTTGAAATACAGACGTGAGGGGGCTGAGGAGATGGGGTTGGGGAAGAGGCTGGTTTGGAGAGTCATGCCGTGGTTTAAAATCAGGGAAGTTTGCTGGAGCCTTTTAATCTACTGTTTCTGGCAAGCTTGTCATTCATCATAGTTAAAGTGATGCTAAATGGATTACTTAGCCTCCGTGCCCATGAATTTATCATTGTGCAGTTTAAATAAGACCTTATATGGTCATTGTGATAAAATCAGCCATTAATACGTGTCTCATTCACCACTCTGTAGAGAGCCGGTCCTGGCTGCATCAGTGCAATCCACTGTGGAAACAGCAATGCGTAGGCTTGACCTCCTCAGGCTGACCTTTTGGGGTAATATGCAGGAGGTAACGACCTCTGAGCCTGCAGTACGTCAGGAGGCAGGAGATTGTCTTCTGCAGGGCGTGATTTTACCGAGTTGGCTCCAGAACTGCCGGCGCGGTGCGTGGTTTAGCTGTCTAATCCCGTTAGCGGTCTTAGGAGGAGCTATTTTGATTGTTCCACAAACCTCTTTGCTTTAAGCTCATAAACCCCGTGACTGGATAACGGGAGAGGAGGTGTGGGCAGCAGGGTGCCGGCACGATGCGAGGAGGCCACGTACGTGGTGTGAAGACGAACCTGAGGTCCAAACCCAGACGCGGTGGAGGCCAGCCTGGACGGGCTCACCTGGAGCTCCCTAGTCACCCCTGGACT